TTGAGTCGTAAGATGATGTGGTGCAGTAGTAAGAAGTCGGGTCGAGTGTTGATTTTTTCAATGGTGTGGTGAGCTTCGTAATCCGATGGTAATATTGTTTGCTATCGTGGTGAGATAGTGGGTGTGGTGGTAAGTTTGGTGGTCGAGTGGTGAGTTTTCAGGTGAGGTGGTGAGTTTGGTGGTCGAGTGGAGAGTTTGTGGGAGTGGTGGTGAGTTTCCAGGTGAGGTGGTAAGTTTTCGACAGTAGTGGTGAGGTTTTGTAATGCGGTGGTGAGAACTACTTCTATGTACGTGCTTCTCTCAAGGGGGTCCCCTTGGGGAAATGGGGACTTGGAGAATTTTGGTGTGTCTTGTAGGTGACCCTAGGAGCAGCTGAGCAACTACGAACACCTATAGTGTGCGCTTCGAATCACATGCGATGATTCTGCGTGCTGTATCATCCTATAGACTAGGAGCTGTACAGTACACACAGGTGTTTTATTACCATCAACACTGCTATAGTGTTATTCCTAAATGATAACTAAAGAAAATAAGCAATATCTTAATGATATTATTCCCAATAAGTCTTTTTTTGACTGCAACACTAAAGTAAATTTCTGTTCATAGCTATAATAAAGGATGTATGTAAGTGACCAGGTACTATTAAAATAAGTTTATGATGATAAACAAGATAATAACTGTGTAAACGATAAAGGAAAAAGGGGAACAACAGTACCGAAATCATCTCCAAGTACATATAACAATGTACTCCAACTTTTACAATGGTCAACAGCCTTAAAACCAATCAAATCCGCCCAGAAATCCCTAAGAACCCTATAATGACGTAATGTAATGATCTTGTTACTAATAAATGATGCAATTTTCACAGCTAAAAGTGATCAATGACACAATAATATGATGTAAAGCACTTCTTATGATGAATCCAGGTGATTTTTTTCTTTGTAAACTAGCTGAAAACCAAATTTTGAGATTACAAATTTTTTCAGATGAGGTCCAATTTTTGATTACTAAAGTGCATCTTGTAGCCCTCGTGATACTGAGCATTTATCACCCCCATATGACCTACTTCTGATGAGTGATGAGTAAGATATTGAGTTGTGAAGTTAAGGTTTTTAGTGTTACATGTTGACTTGTGACTGTAAACTCGAGATTCACACCAATTTCTTATTTGCCTTGTAACTCTTTTCATACACCTTCACTACTAGTGATTTAAAGTTTGTACATTATGTAATCCACTCTTCTGCGTTGAATGAGCTATCTACCAACCTAATCTAACGTCATTTGACATATGTATTTAGCTGAAATCCTTCATTTTTGACAAAATCACCCATTTTCTTCACTTTTCACAGCTGCTACTCTCTTTTTCTTGCTCATGTAATGTGTCATCATCCTCTATAACCTTAAAACTCCCGGAAAATCCTCTTGGCAACCCTAAATTCCACTATTACCACCATTACATATGCAAACCACATGTATACCCCCAACACAGGAACCGCTCCGCACCACTCGGGATTTTGACCCCCTTCGAGTGCGCAGCGCAGATACCGCTCTGAAACGCTCCGCACTGGGATCGCTATTTTTTTTTTGCAGGGGCTCAAGACGTAGCGGAGCGCGAAAACCGCTCCGCACACGCTATATGGCGCGCTATGCTCAATACCGCTATATAGCGTTATTGCGCGCTATATAGCGCGCAATAACACTATATAGCGCACAACCCGAGAGAAGAAAGAAAAAATAATTTCATGTTTCTTGAATTGTATAAAGGAGATATGACATTCATGTTTCTTGATTTGTATAAAGAAGAGATGACATTTAAGACTCTTGATTTGTATAAAGAGGAGATGAGCTGGAATAGCTAATACTTTAGATTTGTAAAGTAGTTTGAATTTGTGAAATGATATACCTATTTTTTTTTCTTTTTGGTCAGACCCGCTATGTAGCATTCAAGGGCCTTGGCAGCCTCCTCAAAAATCCCATCAGGCAAGATCCCTTCTTTCATCCAAGCTTGAGACCCCACAAGCCGCTCCATTGTTTTTGGAAGCATACTCCCTCTAGAAGGTGTACACACATCGGCGGCCGCTGAAAATGTTCGCTCGCAAGCGCATGACGTAGCTGAGATGGCCAGGTAATCGCGAGCTAGTTTGGCAAGTGTGGGGAAGTGGTGAGCGTGTTCCTGTAAAAAAGGATTAGAAAACATTTGAAAGGTTAGCCCGGAGTCACCAATGAAAAGAAAAAACAATCAGACAAACCCTCCACCACGCAAGTGGAGTCTGATCCTTATTGATAGGGAATCAACCTAGGAGATATTCATTGAGCTCCGACTTAGCCGAAGTCTCTGGATTCCCGTTTCCAACTCCAAAGATATCGTATTCATCGGGCTCGGCAGTTCCATTGTTAACTTCAGTCACTTCAGGTGAAGTACTGGGGTCGCAGACCTCGGCTTCCTGCAATCGATTCTCGAAAGCGGTCTCTATCGCTGAAAGGGATGAATCCTCCTGATCGGGGTAATTGATTGAGAAGAACTTGCCTCAGAAGCGGGGGTTGAGCACCGTTGCCAATACTATGGCTTCGGTGCCCGCCGCCTCCTGCTGATACTTGGTAAGCCAGTCGACCATGATTTCGATTGACTTGGTGAGGGTAGGAAATGATGATGCTTCGGTTTGATGGGGTTGAAGTTCGCTAATCACTCGTTTATATTCCTGGAGTAAGATACAGCCCGTAGGGCCATTGCCCTCCACACGGGCCGTGGCCTCAACAAATGTCTTGAATGAAAGATTGTCAGTATTTCACCCAACAAGAAGGAATAAGGTGGGGAGCTCACCTTCAATACTTTGTTCACGATTTCAACCGCGTGCCATTCTTCCGGTGATATTGTGACACCCTTGAAAAAGCATGCTTTTCGATCAGCCGCAATCATCGAGTTGATGACCTGTTTAAAATAAGCACAGGTTGTATAAGGTTGTATAAGCAGGATGAATTAAAAAAGGATAAGTGATTGACAAAAATGAAAAGAACTTACCTCTTGAGCCTCGAAAGCAATCTGACGACTTTCGTAATGGCTGTTCCACCGTGTCTTACATGGGCGCTTGAGCATACGGCCGTGGTATCCCATACGTTCTGCTCGCGCTTTGAAATCACTGCGTCGAGCCGCGCTACTGGCAATTTGGCCTGAGATCGTATCAACCTGGACAAAGACATTCATAATAATCAGCTGTCTGGAGTGAAAGCGAGTGATTGTACATACTTACCTTGGCAAGGGCTAAGGCAACAACATCATCTTGAGCCATATCACCATCCACTTCTCCATCATGGTCCACATTCGCATCATCTTCGTCACCATCAGGCTTCTCCGGTAGGCCTTCCTCATCTTCTTCGGAAACTGGATCGTCAATTTCGATTTCGCCATCGCCGTTGTTGACCTCGAGTGCTGGAATCGGGAGGGCTACTCCATCTGGAGTGGTTGGTTTTGATGGACCTACCTTCTGTCCAAGTGCCTTCAAGCCATGACCCACCACCAAATTGAGTTTATGCGCATAACATCGCACGTGATGCCCTGAGGCATCCCAGAAAACCGAGTCTTCAGCCTCCGAAAACATCGTGGACATCTCAGTGGCCATCGTAGTGTTTTTGCCACCGCTGTCAGTGGTCTGAGCTAGCACGTAATCACATCACAAAGCAAAAGATTAGCAAATCGAAAAAAAAGAAACGAAAAGAAATGTTAAGAGATAACCTATCTTCTTGTGAAGACCATGACGTATCAAGAATCGTCCAATGGGTCGAGCAAGGAGAGCACCAAAGTGTCTCCATGCAACCATCTTGAGCGTAAGGTGTGTTGATTGATACTCCCAATTACTATTGATGTAATTTGCTGAAGCTCCTACAAATGCGTAACGGTTACCCTTCGTCGTCCAGACGTCGTGGATCAAGCAAAATTTGCCTTCATTTTCCTATGAGAGTACCATTCAAGAAGAAGTGAATGTTATTGACAAACCAGAAAGGGTATAACTTGAGATGAGAG